TGCATCATTCGGCTTGATCTTATTGCTTGATTTTGCTCAAGTTCTATTTCCTTTTTTTTATTTCAAAGTTTTTTTATATAGGTAAGTTAGAAAATGATAACATCAATCTAATTCTTTGCTTATCCTTGTATGTTTTCAGTTTTAATTAATAATAAAACATAAATTATTCTCTTATATAACTTAAATTACAAAGAATTCTTGATTAAAAATTTATACCTTTTTTTTATTCTTTTTAAGTAAACATAAAAAAATTTGAAAGGAAAAAACGGGAGCGATGATTTTCCTTTCAGAGTATATATGTATATTTTATGCATGAAAATATAAATTTACAAAATTATAGAAAAAGAAGGAGCGTTGTACTAAATATTTTAATACACAAAATCTTTTAATACACAACTAAGCTTGTTCTCCGCACACACAACTCTTAATGACTGAAACAGTTACAGTTGTTAAAAAGTTACAAAATAAGTCCTCCAATTCATTTTATAAGTTATTAATTTTAACTTAATTTAATTTTAAAACAACATCTTTACTAATCCTAATTCTGCGAGTATGTATACAAATATGTTGTCAATCGTATGTTATACACCCCTTTCTACACTTAATGTATACGAAGCAAAAATGTAAATTATCCAATTATCATTTTAAATTTTAAATTATTTCGTATATTACATTTTCTTTTATTAAAAAATAATTTCCTTCAAAACATTTCGATAAGCGAGTACACATTCAAGATAATCAAATAGAACTTTATGAAATTATATTTTTTTTTATTTAATGTCTCAGATTGCAGATAAGAAAAAGAAACACAGAAATATAAAAACAAAGAATACAAAACATGCAGCAGAAAGACTAGACATACTGCTAAAGTCGAATTCATCAATATTAAAAGGAATTATATGAATAATATTAAAAAAGAAACATATATGTGTTTAAAATAAAATAAAACAATCACATCGAAAATACTTTTCATACAGGCATGGTTAACGTGATACTATAAATGCATCGAAACATTTTTTTATCAGTTAATTAATAAAATTATATCTTCAATTAAATGCTTTAAGGCATTTGTAATAAAACTTTAATCGCACCTATAAATTACAATAAAGGTAAAAAAATGCAGAACCTGACTTTTTCAAGAAAACTCATCTACTACGGTTTTACTTTTTGTTCTTTTCCACGTTATTCTGTCCTCATAAAATCGGATAACAATTTGAGGACACTTGACATTGGTTTCACTGGCAGACACCATGTCAACTGCATCTGTTCCTTTCCTGCACAAACAATTATTCTTATTCATTAGTCAGCTTCAATCATTTTTAAATTATTCATATTAACTTGAATTCTTTAAAATATCACCGGGATCTGAACTTTTCCTTATTCTGTGGAGGCATCTTACCAATTCGATATGTGATGATATTAATCGCGATAGTAGGACATATTACGTACCATTGTATCAAATACATTAATTTTCCATTGTCGTCCGCTGAGAGTCCAAGAATCTTATCTGCTTCCAATTCTCTTTTGAATCCCTGTACTCTGCTGTCATCTATCATCGTCTCATCAGCATACACATCTGTTTTAATTTCAATATCCTCACAAGAATTTATCTCAGTTTGGTCTGTATGACATAAAAATAATTAATATTACTGAGAATAAAGAAGAAAACATAAGAATTAATTTATCTTTCTTTATCTTAAACATATGTGAATAAAGAGAACGAATAAATTAAGGAAGATTGAAACTAAGTTCGAAAACATACGACATCAAAATAATATTGGGAATATATTCTAAGTTTTTTTTAGTGTAACTTAAGCTAGTTATAGTAAAAACTAAAGTTGATAAATGTTAGATTTGTAGTATAAATAGAACTTAAAAGAAAATTAGAATTATTTCAGTTAAAATTTATTATAATAATTGATAATTAGCAAAAATAAAGTTATAATTTGTAATTGACGCAAAATTATCATTCAGCACTAATCAGTTATTTATTTATAATAGATTTTTAAGTGCAAATAATTAAAACAACAAATTTAACATCTAGCTTTTCAATCATTTTTGGTCATTCGAAAGATCTCTAAACAGATCCTTGAGATTGATCTTGGTTTAAGAGAAGAAACCGAATCAACGGAAGAGAAGAAATGAAAGCAAAGAAATAATTACTTGGAGATGAAGGAGCTCCATTACACGAACTGTGGATGGTGGTTCCCGAGCACTCTACTGGAGGTTCACAGCTTGCAGTGTGGCACTAAGAAATTAAAATCAAAATTATTAATATAAGATCGAAAATAAGGAGGCAATCTTATGAATAGACATCAGATTCTTATGCAATTTTATACTTTTTTAGAAAGCAGATTGGAAAATAACATAAAAATAGAAAGTCTCATTAAAAAAGCATTCTAAAAATGTATATTTATTTGTGCATATTGTGCATATTTGCGTATTTTGTGCATATCTGCACAAGATATCTGCATAAAAATCTAATGTCTACTTATGAATTAGGTGACATATGCGAGAGGAGAGCTGTATGTACGAGCAAATGGAACGCTTACTGTATGATCTTTGTGTAACCAAATAAATATAAATTGGAATAATAAATTTGTTTGAATCATTAAAATCATTTTGCAAACTTTAAATGCTTTTTTCTTGAAACGACGTTTTCAAAGTTGAACAGTATATCTCAAGAACTAATTATTCAATCAAATTCAAATTTGGAGGTTTTAGCGATAAAACCACAACATACCGGGTTTCATCGCAGTAGAAATAATAATTTAATAAACAATCAATTTTCTTTAATAAAAAAAACTGTACGAAGTCTGTCCCAAAAGTATTCCAGGCCTCTGTCTATATCATGAAAAAGTGTTACTAAGGAATGATATGACAATGTCATCTTCAATGTAATCTCTTTTCGGAGCAATAACCTTGGGATCCACCCACTTCTGTAAATAGTTCTGGAAATCATTTTTTTGTGATAACTAACAGCTCCCACTTCGCATCCAGTTTGATTTCTTCAACGTCAAATTTCAGATAAGATTTTTGTATTAACTCTTTTATGCACCTCAGAATCTTTTTGGTTGGATTCCAAGGCGTCTTTGGTAACTTCGTTTTGAAAATCCTTTTCATTTTGCTTCAGCACTTCTGGAACGGATTTTTTTGGACACACGCGAGTTATTCCAAGATCTTCAACTAAAATTCGAGAAAGAGTAGTTTTTGGAATTCCAAGGTTCTCTACTAATTGTCTGACAGTCAAACAACGATTTTCCTTGATTGCGACTCGCACACGTTCTATGTTCGCCGCTGTTCTCGACGTTGATGGTCTACCTACTCGACGATGACTGTCCACTGAGACACGGCCACTTCTGAATCGATTAAACCACCATTTTATTTGTGTTTCACTCATAGAGTTGTTACCATAGATTTTACGCATAATGTCGATTGTCGCTGAACATGTATGGCCAAGTTTTTGGCAAGATTTAATGTAAACTTTCTGCTCCATCCGCTCAGTCATTGTGAAATGGGCAATCGAAGCTTCTGACACTCGCACAACTGCGAACTGTTGCCGACTGAACAACTATTTGGTCGTGCCGCTTGGTGGGAGTACTTCTCAAGGTCCACACCCCAAAATACTCTAGTGTGACTGAACTCTTGTATCTTTTCCACAATAGAAAGAGAGAGGATAACAAGGAGAATATAAAGATATAGGCAGAGGATACTTTTGGGGCAGACTTTGTAAATAATTATATTAAATTGTATATTAAAGCTCGAAAATTTAAAAAAAATCGACCAAGAAATTTTTTAGAAAATTTAATATATCATCCAGTTTTCGGCTGAATTTATAGGATTGCTCATTTAAAGAAAAATGTTATTAGAATGACAAATTACAATATAAGATTATAAGAGAAATCTTCCATATACACAGTGCGACAAATATGTTCCCGGACAGGGCCTGAAATCATAATTGAAACAACAAATATTCAATAGTGATTCAAATGCATGTTCTAGCTCAGTTTGCGGAATTGCCTCTAGTGCCTGTGTAGAAGCTGATTGGATGGTCGGAATGTCATCAAAAAAACGTCCTTTCAATTTCAATTTCAATTTTGGGAATAATGAGAAGTCGCAGGGGGCCAAATCAGGTGAATACGGTGGATGGTTTAACACAAAGACACGATTTCGAGCCAAACATTGACGGACAATCAATGAAGTGTTCTTAATGTGTGTGGAACAAACTTCGCACAAACCTTCGTTTTACCCAAATCTTCATGTAATATGGTTCGAATCGTTTCTCTACTGATATTTAAAGCCTCCTGCATCATTTTTAGTGATGCATTGCGATCATTTGCGACAAAATCACGTACTTTTTCGATCATTTCGGGTGTTCGAACCAAAATTGGCCGTCCTGATTTTTTGTCATCTTCAAGGGTCTCTCTGCCTTCCAAAAAACGCTTATGCCACTCAAAAACAGTTGTACGACCTAGACATTGACTACCGTAAATTTGTTGCATCGATCGGAATGTTTCTGATGCACTTTTACCAAGTTTTGCGTTAAATTTAATCACTGCTCTTTGTTCCATATTAAAATTTCTACCTCGACCAAAATCTTGTTTAACATAAACTGTTATATCTTCGTTATATGTCAACCAAAATGAATGAAACTTTGACAGATGATAATAAAATGTTCAACCTTTAAAATACATGTTTGAACGCACAGATGTCGCCACTGGTTGCTGAGATGTGGTTCGTGTCCGGGAACATATTTGTCGCACTGTGTATTAGATTATTTGGAAAATTCGTTTTAAACCTTTTATGTAAATCAAGGATGCAATATTTTATGATATATTTATACATACCCCCTCAAATGTACTAATATGAATATAAATGTTTATGGAAACAACTGACAAAATCACAATAACGCCAAAGCAGTGGTGGGAAAAATTTAATCAATTTATTCAATAGATTAATGATTAAAAGTTTAATTCTTGATTATAGTAAATGATTAAAATTTTTTAGTTGCCTTCAAATAAATCTTAGGTGTTAATCAATTAAAAAATTTTTAATCTGCAGTTTTAATCGATTAAAACAAGTCATTACTGTTTTTAATTCAATTGATTAATTGAAATTATCTGCTGCAAATTAAAAAATTAATCATTATTTATTAATCATTTGTGTTTAATTAAGCACAGATTAAATCTACTTAATTAATTATTTAACATTTCTCCTTACTAAAACAGATATATGCATAATATTACTTTTGATATTATTGCCAAAAATATATTAGTTTTCTATTAGTATTAGTGTTATAATGTTTCAGTTTATAAATAAAATTAATCTATTACTATAAAAGAAAATTATATTTTATTATTATGTGCAATCTCTTTTTATAAAAACATAAAATAATTTATCGACCAATAGTGATTTGAATAACTTTTCGATATGATAAACACGTTCTATAATATTATAGATCGCAAAAATTACGAATTTTTTAAGAATGATTGAAAATTAATGATTATTATTTTTTTAACCAATTGTATTTTATTTGATTTAATAATTCATTAAATTAACCGTGATCATATATCATTTTTAATCAATTTAATTACTTTAGTCAAACTGGGACGTAATCGATTAATCATATAAAATTGTTTGACAATTGATTTGATTAATTGATTACACTAATCATGATTATATATGTATATTTTGAATTTTTAGTCAATTATTTCAATTAACTAATAAATTAATCGATTGTGCCCAACGCTACATCAAAGTGACATCAAAATTAATCATGAATAATATTGGGTCATCTAAAAAGTATCCGCGGTACTTTGTCACTAGATATATGACCATCAACACACATCTAGTGACAAAAAACCACGGATACTTTTTAGATGACCCAATATAATTGAAGTGACTTTTAATAACCAAATTTATAGTTATTTCGATGTTATTTTGATGTTATTTATAACTCATGCTTTACTTGGGAATTATCTCAATTATATTGGGCAAGAAAATTTCAGAAATTAATGCGCAGACTTCTGACAGTCACAAACTAGTTTGGAAATATTTAGAAATAGAGTACTAAAATTTTCAGGTCTTTTATTTCCTCTAAGAAAATATGGTCACCGTAACTATTTAGCCAGCTTCGTCAGATAATTTTGTACAATGGAAACGGATTTGTGCAAAGTGGCGGCGGATTTAATAATATTTGCGGATGAATTTTTGCACATGAAATCTTTCAGAAGTGTTTCATCAATCTCTCGAGGCCACCCAGCAAAAATTAAAATTGAAAAGATTAAAATGAATTGAAATTTTTTTCTATCCGAATGCATATTTTAAACAGCGAATACTTTTTTTGGATTTAATTGGATTCAATTGGATTCAATTAGATTCAATTGGATGCAATTGGATTGAAAAACTGCATTTCTTTATTCAAAATTTTGAATTAAATATTCACAATGCACAGAAAAAGCTATTATATTATTTTTAGATTAAAAGGCATAGAATTATGCTCCATGTAATTTCTATAAATGAATAAAAATGCATTCAGGATTGAAAAGCATTCATTTTAACATTCGTGAATCAATATTTCTGAAAATCTGAATCCATTTCAATTCATTTCAATCTATTCTCGTTTGCTGGGCGACTATGAATACCGGCCATGTGTTTCCAATGTAATTTACACATATATGTATTAGAAATTTCACAATCTAAGATTACTTGCGTACAACAGAAAAAGCAACTATGTAACTATAAAATTCTTTAATATGACTGATTTGCATTTAGATCATTTAGATCCAGTGAGGAACTAACTCAGCAAAAATGAATGGATTGAAATGGATTCAGATTTTCAGAAATACGGATTTATGAATGTTAAAATGAATTCTTTCCAATCTTGAATGCATTTTTATTCATTTATAGGAATTGCATGAAACAATATCTATTCCTTTTCAATCTTGACTGCATTCTTATTCATTTGTAAGAATGGCATGAAGTATATTTCTATAGTTTTCAATCTAAAAATAATATAATATTTTGCGTGCATCGTGAATACTGATGCTTAACTTAAAATTCTGGATAGGAAATGCATTTTTTTATCCAATTGAATCTAAAAATATTAGCCATTTATGTGCATTGTGAATACTGCTAAATTCAAAATTCTGAATAGGAAATGCAGTTTTTTAATCCAATTGAATAAAAAAAAATTGAATAAAAAATTTTTCTTTTAATGGGCCATAAATAGTATTCAAAATTGTGAGTAGAAAATTTATTGTTTCATTTAAAAATGCATTATGAGTGCTATTTTATTTAGAATGATAAATTCCCAGCAAACAAGAATGGATTGAAATGGATTAAAATGGATTCAAATTTTCAGAAATACGAATAAAAATAATATTCATGAATGTTAAAATGAATCCTTTTCAATCCTGAATGCATTTTTATTCATTTATAGGAATTGCATAAAACAAATATCTATGCCTTTTCAATCTTGAATGCATTTTTATTCATTTATAAGAATTACATAGATATTTCTATGCCTTTTCAAAAATAATATTAGCATTTTCTGTGCATCATGAATACTACTCAATTCAGACTTGTGAATAGAAAGTACGGTTTTTTTAATTCAGTTAAATTCAAAAATAATATCAGCAATTTCTGTGCAATGTGAATACTGTTCAATTCAATATTCTGAATATGAAATGCAATATTTCAATCTAATTGAATAAAAAAAGTTTTTATTTAAAAATGGACCATAAATGTTACTTAAATTATTTAAAATTATAAGTAGGAAAATTTCGTTTTAATCCAACTATGTTCAAAAAAATTGTAACGTAAAAATAATTGAGCTATATTCATTTGTTTCTTTTTGATTAGAAGTAAAATGAATGATCGATGTGAACACTCGCAAATTAAGTCGAACGAGCCCGAATATTAAACTAATCACGGCGCATGATATCGGCCAAACGAGATTAGATTATCCGACTTGTCCAATGTTGTCTCATAATGTAATGTAAATTGTTTATACTTTATTATATTTGTTAAATGATGATATTTTTATCATATTTATATAATTTCATTAATAGTTTAGCTAGTTGTAATTGAAATAAAAAATGAATAACACATTTACCAATTGATGAAGAAGTGGTGTAGCAGATAATGTAGAAGATTCAATTCAGTTAATTTCAGGTATAATTATTATAAACATCTTAGGAATAAAATTTGTAATCCTTGAAGATGAATTTTTTTTTTTTTTTTCGAAAATTAAAGTAGTGTCAGCTCCGATCCAATCCATTTCAATCCATTCAATCTATTTTCATGGATTTAAAGTACGCATTAAAAAATTTTAATCCATTTTAATCCATTCTCGTTTGTTGTGTTATAAGAAATTTTTCGTTTTAATTCAACTGAGTTAAAAAAAAGTTATACCGTAAAAATATATCATGAATAAATATATACAATAAATGTTACATATGTAAATTCCTTATTTTTAATGAATAAATTATTAATTGCTTTTATGTTTATTTTATATTTGACACGTTTCCTTTATTATATAGCTATATATTTTTTATATAAAAGTTTTAAAATAATAACTGTAGAATT